GGGTTGGCCTGATTGGGCAGTGGCCGAAGTGGTAATAAGTGTGCCAATAGCAACCACACGCTGGTGAACCAATCGGTGCAGTTTGTCAAAAGGTCGGTCTCTGAAGAGACATCGTAACTGCTGCAGAACTGACTCTTGTTGGAGGGGCTAACTAAGGTGGTTTTAAGAAGAATATATACGGGCGAGTCCAGGGTACTTGCGAAGATCGGTTTCGTGTCACTGGTCAAAAATGCCTGTGGGAGCTCCTGTTACACTTTGGCGTATTGTATTTTTGTTAAGACCTCGAAAAATAACTGTTTGTGAGTCAAAACCAGAATCGGAATCCCCTTCTCATTTACTTTCTGTATGATAAGCTGAGGGACTGGGCAATAATAGTCGTAGTAATAAATATGCCAATAGCAACCACTCGTTGGTAACCAATATGCCAGTAGCAACCACTCGCTGGTAACAAGTGTGCCAATAGGACTTGGTAACAAGCACGCCAGTAGCAACCACTCGCTGATTGTAAATATGCCAAGAGCAACCACACGCTGGTAACAAGTATGCCAATAGCAACCAATCGCTGGCAAAAAGTATACCAATAGCAACCACTCACTGGTGAACCTATCGGTGCTCCCTTCTTCAGGGACTGTTTAAAAGTAAACAAAAACAAGACAGTTTTGTCCACCAGCCGACCTAGTTCTAGTTTTCCCTGCCAACTTCCCTCTCGCTCCTTCCCGACTTTTTCCAAGCACACTTTGCTCAGGTTCTAAGTCGTAAAAGGTAGCTCTAGGGCTTTTTTTCATGTAGGGAGTGTGGGAAGAAGCGGGCGAGAATGGCTAGCAGCGCTGGTGTCCACTATGAATGATGCGAATCGGGATACCACCACGGGGGAATGAGGGATATTGGAGCTGCAGGATCTCGCTTGGACTGCCGAAAAGATATAGTAATAGTAATAATAATGATAATAATGAAGTAATGATAATGGTAGTGAAGGTAATAATAACGCTATTAGTAAATAATAAAATTAACGATAATGACAATAACAATGATGATACTAGCAACAATAATAGTAACAATAATGATATTAGTGCAGCGGTAATAGCGAAAACGATGTTATTGCTGATAATGATAGTAATAATAATAACAATAATAATAATAACAGTAATAATAATAATAATAATAATAATAATAATAATAATAA